GTTGCGAAAACAAGGTCAAACAACGTCTATACAACGAAAGGAGACTGCGACCACACAAAAGGCCACACCAACTTGGTCTTTATATCTTCGGTTATGTGCAAAGTTCACTTTTCGAGACTACCATAGATCGTGGATGTGTGATTTATGCGGCCTATTTGGCTTAATGTGACAAGGGGAATGGCAGTTGAATGAGAGCTCAAACAAAATGGACCGAATACATCTCATCTAAGTGATGTACTGGTAGGCTCACTAACTTGAGTATGAAAAAGTAAAAATAAGTAAGTAAAAACGTACGAATTTTTGACTTGTTTGCTTGAATATGATTGTAAGGATGATACTTTCCCTGTTCTCAGGATGTCCGTCATACGACAGGCGGAAGCTTAGCACCTTTCACCAGACTTGAAGGAGATTGCCTTGGAAACAGCGTCAACAGCCAATCGACAGCTATTCAAAATGAATACGTGCTCGTTGGTGCTCGTCTTCAGGTGGGATCGATCTTCGAATCTCTTCCCAAAACACTTTAACTCAACAATTATGTAACAAAGGATTGCTTGAAGCCCAGCTTTTCTTCGCAAATACTAATTATCCACGTCGATTGCTGTAGCAAATACAACAATCCCACCATATAATGTAATACGGCAGAAGACATGGCTTTCCTTGAAATTCACTTCTGCTTTGTTACCATCGCCTACTCATGCCGGCCTGGCGTAGTGGCCAACGTGTTGCGACTATACGCAGCACTACTACAACTCGGGTTTGAGTCCCGCCAGCGGTACCAATGGGACCAGATGTGGCGAGTTCGAAATGGGGCGCTTCATTCTCGCCTAGAGGAGAATGCTTTTAGGAAGTAGGGCTTTGCGAATTTGAATGGGAACGTAAGGTCTACTCAAGTGATTGTGGGAAAATTTAACTACCAGTTCAAATAGGGCGAATAGATCCTTTATCCATGATCTACTGGTATTCTGTAAAACTGAACGTTGCACATGCTGGCGTCACAACCAATTTGCAAGTACGCCTTAGTCAAACTGAATTCGAATAAGTCGGCAAGTCTATCACTCCCAACACCGTCTTCAGCAACCATTAGGTCTAAAAATCCTGTATTTTTTGCTACAAATTACACTTTACCGGCGCCCGGTTAATCCACTCAGGGCGACCACGAAAACATGCGGCCACCCAGAAGTTTTGGCAAACAAGGCCTTGCCAAAGTCAGTGAAGTCTAAAGGTCTACTCACGAGATTGTGGGATAAAATTGAACTTCCCTTCGCTTTGTCAGCCATCTCAAAACGACAAAGGTTCTTGTTAAGACGTGACAGCTTCGGATCGCGTCGCCATTACTCAGGTGGGGCAAAAAGAAACTCGCGGCACATCCTTAGAGGGTCGACCAACTCATGCCTTCTCGGACTGTGCGCCGGCCGCGAGTCAGAGACCACTGGTCTACTTGACATCGTCACGACCAGCCCAATTGGCCAAGCGACAACTCGGCTCCGGCCAGCATCAAGTAGGACTAGGAGTAGCCGTTTGGCTCTGATTGGTTCGTTCAAACACGACCCAGCCAGAAGAGAGATTCAAAGCCGGCCGAAGGGATCAATTGATGCTCGACCAACCAGCCTGTCAGACCGAGATGGTTCGAGAGCACTACATGCTGCCGAATGGTGGTGGCCTAGTGTCTACATCGAAATCGGTGTTGACGTTGACGTTGGCGTTGGCGTTGACGTTGGAGTTGGCGTCGGTAGGGAACTGCTTTGAGGTGGCAAGTCGCGGCAGCGAAGCGCGTCGGCAGCGCCGGATCGAGGGCGGCAGTAGACAGCCGGTGGACGCTTTTCTGCCGCTGCCGAACCAGCGTCAGCAGGTTATCATCATGCTCATCATGTACACCGTCTGCCTGACAACCGGCATCCTCCTTGTCGGTATCAGTCTGGTGGTCAGCGCTCGAATACGCGAACGCCTCCGCATCCTCACGCTGGGTCCCTCGTCGGCCCAGCGTGGCCACCGCGACCAGTCGACCTTGGCGACGGCAAAAGCGACGGCAAAAGCGACGGCGACGGCGA